TATGATGTTAAGAAACACCTTTTATGTACCTTCCTTCGGACGGAACTTAGTTTCCGTATCAAGTTTGGATGTTTGCGGCTACTATTTTGAAATAAAGAACAATGTGGTTTTTATGTTCTTTAATTCAAATAAGGTTGGGTGTTGCAATATATCGAATGGACTGTACAGATTGTGTTTATCTCCCAATGATATATACGTCGCTTATACAGCTGAAAGGGTTGTTTCCAAAAGACCTCTACCTAAGGAACAATCTTATGCATTGTGGCATAAACGACTTGGTCACATTTCTAAGGAAAGAGTGAAAAGGCTAATAAAGACAAACATCTTGCCTACTCTTGAAAGTGACCTAGATACTTGTGTAGACTATTGTAGGGGTAAGATGACCAAGATAAAGAAGAAAATCGCAGTCCATAGTTCTGACCTGTGGAGGTCATTCACACTAACATCAGTGGACCCTATACGGCAATATTGTGTAGAAATTTCTATTTCATCACATTTACAGACGACTATTCCTGATATGGTTATCTGTTCTTGATTAAGGAGAAGTCTGAGTCTCCTGACAAGTTCAAGATTTTTCGGATTGAAGTCAAGAAACAGTTGGGAAAAGTCATAAAGGTTGTTAGATCTGACCAAGGTGATGAGTATTATGGCAGGCATGGCGATGCTGGATAGCTGAAAGGGCCATTTGCCAAATACTTGGAGGATTCTGGGATAGTGGCTCAATTTACTATGCCCGGGAGTTCTGAACAAAATGGTGTGGCTGAAAGGCGGAATCGCACCTTTATGGACATAATGAGAAGTATGATTAGCAGGACGAACTTACCTGATTTTCTGTGGGGTAAAACTTTGAGAACAGCTCTCTACATTTCAAATCGTGTTCCTACCAAGGCTGTTCCAAAGACTCCTTTTGAATTATGGATTGGACGTAAATCTAGCCTAAATCATCTTAAAGTTTGGGGGTATCCTGCAAAAATAAGGTTATATAATCCAACATTGAACAAGTTGGAATCCAAAACCACTCGGTGTTACTTTGTATTATACCCAGATCATTCGAAGGGATATCGGTTTTATAGTCCCCATGGAGGCACAAGAATTGTCGAATCACATACAGCGAAGTTTCTGGAATTTGATGTAGCCGAGAATGGTAGTTGCTCACAGACCATTGAGGATAATAATATGGTAGGTACTACAGTATTGATTTCTCTACCTGTACAGACAATTATGGAGCATCCTACACCACAGACTGAGGCTATCGAGGTTCAAGATCTTGCCGTTCAGGCAGCTCCTAATGAAGTACTCCAAACCCCTTAGATGCAGAATGAGGAAGTAGTAGCTCCACTCAGGAGATCTATCAGGCAAAGACGATCGGCTATACCACCGGATTATATGGTCTATCTGGGAGAGCATGACTACGATATAGGCTGCGTGGTTGATCCAGTAACTCATTCAAATGCTATTTCTTGTCCTCAATCAGATATGTGGGTGGATGCAATGAAAGATGAGATACAGTCTATGAAATATAATGGTGTTTGGGAGCTTGTTGAATTGCCTAAAGGTTACAAGCCCATCGGTTGCAACTGGGTATACAAGACTAAAAGAGACTCCAAAGGAAAGATTGAGAAGTTCAAAGCCAAACTGGTAGCCAAGGGTTTCACTTAAAGAGAAGGAGTAGACTATGAGGTGACTTTTTCACTAGTATCTTCTAAAGATTCTTTCAGAGTGATCATGACATTGGTAGCTCATTTTGATATGGAATTACACCAGATGGATGTTAAGACAGCCTTTTTAAATGGAAACCTTGATGAGGAAGTCTATATGGTGCAACCCGAAGGTTTTGCAGCTGATGATTCAGGCGAGCTTGTGTGTAGATTGAAGAAGTCTATTTATGGCCTCAAGCAAGCTTCTAGACAATGGTATTTGAAGTTTCATAGTGTTGTCACTTCATTCGATTTTGTTGAGAACAAGTTGGATCAGTATATATACAGCAAGGTCAGTGGGAGGAAATTTATTTTTCTCATACTCTATGCAGATGACGTCTTGCTTGCGAGTAGTGATATTGGATTACTACATGAGACAAAGTGAATGTTGTCGAAGGATTTTGATATGAAGGACCTTGATGAGGTGTCTTTTGTCCTAGCCATTGAGATCCATAGGGATCGTTCTCACCGAGTATTGAGTTTGTCTCAGAGGACATATGTTGATCATATTTTAGAAAGATTCAGTATGCAGCACTGCAGGCCAGGAATTGCTCCTGTCGTAAAGGGTAATCAACTGAGTCTGTCACAGTGTCCTCATACAGATGTTGAGAAAACCCAAATGAAGGATATACCTTATGCTAGTGCACTTGGAAGTATCATGTATGCTCAAGTTTGCACTAAACCAGACATTGCTTTTGAACAGGACTTCTAGGCAGATATCAGTCAAATCCAGGACACGATCACTGGGTTGCTACTAAGAAGGTGATGAGGTACCTAAAGAGGACAAAAGACTATATGCTGATCTACAGACATGTTCAGGACCTACAGCTGGTAGGGTATTCGGATTCAGACTTTGCTGGCTGTCAGGATGAAAAGAAGTCGACAACGGGTTACGTTTTTAAGTTAGCAGGAGGTGCAGTATCATGGAAAAGTGAGAAACAGAAATCAATGACATCCTCTACCATGCAAGCGGAGTTTGTAGCATGCTTTTCGGTCGCTACTCAGGCAATTTGGCTCCGGAACCCCATTAGGGAGTTGACCGTTTTTTATTTTGTGGATAGGCCCATACAGTTGTATTGTGATAATAACTCTGCAGTGTTATTTGTTAACAACAACAGAGGTCTCAGAGGTCTAAGCACATGGAGGTCAAGTACTTGACCATAAAGGAAAAAGTTAAGGATGGTGACATTACAGTAGAGCACATTTCCACAGATGATATGGTAGCAGATCCACTAACTAAAGGCCTTTGCCCCTGTGTTTTTGGACGACATGTCGTTAGCATGAGCTTAGGAGTATCATGGGATGCTGTTGTTTAGTGGGAGCTGCTTTTGTCTTTGCTCTAATAAAGTTTACATCTGTGTTTTTTGTTACATTTAGTAACATTTTGGATGTGTATCAACTCATTTGCATTCAATAAAGTGTTTATGAATGATTATTGTCATGTTAAATACACATATAATGTGAAAATCTTAAGGTACTGTGTAAACCTTGAGTAAAGTCTATGAGCATTCAGTTATTAGCCTTAAGAATATGTCTTATTACACATAAAGTAATGTTAACAATAAGGATAAGACATATGTAGGTTCATTGGAACCATAAGGAGGTTCATTAGAACCATAAAGATATTCTTTAGTGACACATCAGGTTTCTGTGACACTGAAAGGAAAAAGAATGAGGACTGACAAAGAGGATGACACATGAGGTATCACTCTTTATGAGGTGTCATCCGTTTGCCACACAACCATATCGAATCCATATCAGTAAAGTCTAAGGCACTTGTGACCATGGAAGGCTCTGCATGATTACATGCAGTTACCGCCATGATTGGGTGTTTGAAACTTTATGGGATCGGATTGACTATTAAGAATTATCCATAGACCAAATAAAGGTGCACATAAGGTACGATTTCAATTAATATAGCCCAAGTGGGAGAATGTAACGTTTTCCTAATGTGGGTTACATTAATTGAAATTGTTATTACCCGTTTGAGGTTTTTGTCTAATAAGGTTGGATATAAGATTTCTTAATTGGTCGGACATGGACTCGGCTTGTGTGGGCCGAGTTTGGCCCGGCCCTTTATGAGAGGGCCTAGCTGGAAACTCTATAAATAGCGCTGGAGGTCCCTCATCTGCACCCAACTCTCCAACTCTCCAATCTCTCTCAAAAGCTCTCAAAACTCACCTAAGGTTTCCGTGAGCCAGCTGAGGCGGTCTCATAGTACCGGGACTTCGGGGGTCACAGGGGAGAAGACCTATGGCACCGGTTCGTCGTCATTTCCGCATCCAGGACGATGGAATCCAAATCAGGTGCTCAAATTCTATCCATCCTTTTACCGTACCGTCAATATCTCACTATGATAATCCTAGGGCGCTCGGTCGAGCCATACGGGCCGGCTAACATCTCTCTCTGTTACGTTTTTCTGCATCTGCATCTGCGAGTAGGCATCTCTCTAGTTCGTCAATCGTGTTTCGTTTTTCGTTTTTGCATCTACGAGCGTTAATGCATTTGATTGAAATACGAAGGATGCTGAAGGCACAGAAGAGTGTCTCGAAGGGGAAGGGGAAAGGGAAAGGAGACGTAAGCAGCAGCTGTTATCCTGCCATACGGCCTCCTGCCATGCCGCCTCGTTATTTCTGGGCTTTTAATCTGTTTATGTAAGTGCATTTGGATCGGATTGATTTCATAGATTTTTTCCTAATTATTAGTCGCCTTTTTTTTTTGGTTCTCACATCTATATTCTTTTGGATGATAGGCGGGATTTTAGGAAGAGCAACGAGTTGGAATCTATCGTAAGTCTCGAGCCTCCTCCTCTCTTTACTATTGGCTTTCCGTCACTGAATTGATTTCATGTACTGATGAAATGACTTGCAGATCATGAAAGCCGGCCATGAGAAATGGCATTCCATAACTGAGAGCCTACGATACCATGCATCATTAGCTCACTAACTATGAATACCACAAATTCACATGCACTGATTCAGCCTAGTGTTTATGCAGGAACGAGGTTCTTACAAAAAAAGACTGGACAAGAGGAGCCAGGAATTCGAACAGTACTGCCAAATATATAAAAAACTGAAAGAGGTATTTTCCTTTCTTATGGCTTGTGTGATGCTTTTGAAGAGAGCCTCCTTGCTGGCTAAATATGTTGTTTCATGGCTGCTAGAATATGGATGAAGCGGAGACTCAGGAGCATCAAGAGATGGAGGGATAACCGTGCTGTCACAAGTGACGCGTGAATAGTTTCTTCTTACGTTAAAGAATCATGTAGCGATCCTCGTAGGAAACGATACATACTATCTTCAGCTCTTTCCACATTGATGTGGGAGTGGATTATTCCATCTTCAGCTGTTTTCACGTTGATAAATCGAGACATTTTTATCTAAGGCTATTCTCTGTTTTCTCTTATTTTGTGGTGTTCTTGGCTGGTCTTGGTCTTGTGGAATAGTATATCTGACAATTATTTGCAATAAGTTGATTTAAATTGGAAAGGTTATAGGGCTGAAATGGAAAATGCAAGTATCATCGTCTGCTAAATTGTCTCGCCACCAGGAAAAGCATTATTACATTCAAAGAATGAGAATCATATGTGAATAACTTGAGTGGTCAAGACGGTTAGACTTACACTAGGTGCTCCGTCTGTAGCCGGCTCACATTTTTAAGCTCAGGCACATGAATAGAGGCAGCTTCTGGGGTTAAAGCAACTAAAGCTTTTGACATGTCATCTTCTGGGCGGTCCATGTTGTATGGCATGTACTTCTATAAATTCTGAATAAACTCTTCCATGTTAAGTTTGATTGTAGGTATTTCGTTGAGAACATCTGAAAACATATCCTCCACGTTATTTTGTTCTATCCGAGTGCAGTCTGGTTCTGGGGTTGCAGGTTCCTCTATAATAGGTTGACAGTTACTTGCACCGGGCCTTGCTTCTTGTTGCTGTTGTTCTAAATTCTCCTTTGCCAGTGGTAATGACAGAGGCAATGTCTCGCCAATGTTTTGGCCGGCTATGTTTCTTCCCATTGCATTCGCTATGCTCTTTTCCTCTGGCCCGGGCAAAGCAAGCCTTGCACTGCACAAAAATATGAGTGCTGAATATATGGAAAAACACGTGCTCCTGTCCGGTTATATTTGCAGCACTGCGATAATGATATTCACACTACCTATTGCTATTGAAGTATCCATATCACAATGAAAAGAAAACAATAATTGGTCATCAGCTAATTAGAATTGGATGTAGAATGTCTAAGTTCCATTTTCTAGATTTAATATCTTCCTTACAGACGAACTAAGCAGGTGCATCTAATACTGATACTGTTTGCCGGGGCCATACTTTTCAGCTTTAATTTTTATGGATCAAAACTCAGTTGTTGTGGAAGTGGTGGTCCTGCTTGTGTGGAACTTCAATGTGGTTGTGTTCACAGAGGACAGGAAACATAGTTGTTGGAGACGACGGTACCTTGCAAAGTGTCTGCATTCTCCTCTCATAGGACATGCATTGCAATTTGGTTTGCTTTTTGTACAGAAAACCTGTATTAATTTCACACTGTTGATCACTCTCAACTGCCATGAGTACCGTAAGTGAATACTTCATCTGTATTGGCCAAAAAGGGTGGAAGAAAGAACACGTGGAACTTAATAGTATCATACCTTTCCAAATGTTGTCATCTGGTAATGCAGCTCATACCTGCATGCAAAGATTTTGTTACTTAACAAAAGTAGGTACTGTGCACCAAATTAGAAAATAGCATCCTTACAATGTTCTCTGATCGAGCTTGCACAATCTTGGCCATATATATTGTTGAATAGACTCCAAGGCAGGATAGCTATACAAGCCCAAAGATTAGTTTGTCGAATCAGTTTATAAGTGGCTGGATAATACTTACAGTTCCAACTGATCGGAGCTTGCACAATCTTGGCCATAAATATTGTTGAATAGATTGTAAGACAGGATTGCTGTACAAACCCAAAGATTATTTTGTCGAATCGCTTGATAAGTGGCTGGATGATACTTATAGTTCCAAAACAAATCTCCGAAGATTTGGCTTGCTCTTGGAGAATGCTCTGCTCATCTCTACGCGGCTATGGAAATTGGACTAAAACTCGATTTTTTTTTTCATTGCCGTCAAGAAATCATACCAATCCATGTCTGGTTATATTCGGCATCTGAAGTCATTTGTCGGACTCTTTCTTCACAAACAATTGCTCCACTCTCCCACAAAAACTTGGTGATTCAAGCCCTTAAGGGGCTCCCATCTAAGTATGATCGCTTTGTCATCATGCTCACCAAGGGCCCTGCAATTCTTTCCTTTGGTTATATGTGGTCACGAGACTCGCAGCATGTATGAAGAGCCAACACAGACTGTCATAAACTCCTCCTCCTCCCTCCTCCACATAGCAGAGGCGACTGTGTCTGTGTCCCCGAAGAGGGACGCAATTCTCGCGCTACGCGTCATCTCTGCTCACATGAGGTGATCCCTCTTCTTTATTCGTCGGTGTTCTTGTTGTTTCTGATCACCTTTTGCTCCCTGAATTTGGGCTTCCGATTATTTCTTGAATTTTGGAGCTTCAGATCGATTCTGATGGGCGATTTAAGTCGTAGTTTCGGTTTATCGTGCGTACCCCTTTTGTCCTCAATGCTGTTCATTCGAAACCTTAGCTTATCTCCGGTTTGGTCTCCGCAATTGAACATCAAAGATACTGTAAAGTTTCAATTTTTTTTGGTGTTGGATACCTCTGGTTTCTTGTTGGGGAAGTTTTCGATTTGGACTAGGATTTCTGTGCATGGCTTTGCTTGCTCAAAGTTTTGTTTTTTCCCCCTCTTGCCCGAAGTAAAAAAGAATGCACATACTGAATTTGGATTTTCCCTTTTACCTCTCTCATCAGATTAACTTCCACTTTGATTTTGATTCTTGAGATTGGAAGTCCCATCTGTTGACTGTTATGCAAGTTTTCCCCTCTTTTTTGGTATTCTCTTTTTGTGTTAGGATTAACGCGATCGAATTTAACAAGAAACTGTTCTGGGGTTCTAGCCAAAGTCAACAATTTGAGCCGGCGTCGCTTGTCGGCAGTATGAGTTGTCACTCGAGCGCATCAATATTCTGAATGAAGTTGTTTTACATAAGCTTACCCAGCTCTGATTGTATATGTGCTTGTGTTGGAACTTTCGGGGTGTTTAAGTTTTCTGTTGTTCTCGTGTTTTTGTACTTTTATTTTTTGAAAATTAGTTTCGTTATGATGTGAGAGAGAACAAGACGTGGAATTTTCATCAATTCTATCACATCACATCACAGTCCATCCATTTTTTAGGCACTTCGATACAGGCGAACGGAAGGTTGTCGTTCCTTTTCTTTTAATGTCGGACATCCTTAATGTTTCTCGAATGTCATATCAGTCTTTGTGATTGTTATGGTTAATTTTTGTGATTTCAAGAGATGGATAGTGAGACTAAGATTAAATGTGAGGCTGCAACTCAACAGCAGTTGTCAGAAAAGGTAAGGAAATTGTTCATGACATTCGAGAATTAATCACAAATTTCCAATTGGCTGGGAAACGGGGTTAGAATGGTGATGCTAGTGTCTTGGTGTGTTGCGGAAGCCAAGCAATCGAACAATAAAATTGACAGAATAAGAAAATAAATCGGACACCAGATTTACGTGGTTTGGTCGTAGTGACTTACATCCACGGGGAGAGCAGCACGGAATTCCACTATAGATCAAGCGATACAACGGAGATTACAACCACACTCGAATCACTCAAACACTCTTAGTGTTTCCCAAGCCCCAATTACATCCAATAACGCACTCAGTGTTTAGCCCCAAAATCCTCACGAAATAATCTCTCAATCTCGCAAAAAAAAATTATACACAAATTCTAACCACAAGAATTTAATCGACTTCAACACTTGAGTTGTTGATGTAATTCCACGAAGAGAAACTCGCATCAAGCACTCGTTGAGAACGGCGCTTCCGGACAGAATTCACGAGAAAGCTCTCTGCACCAAGCACTCGCACAAGCGGCGCTACACCAATTCTCTTCCTGTAATACAATAATATATATATACGCATGCCCAAGAAGAGAACGTGGCCGACTCAACATGGGATTGGAAACCTAGATAATTCGGTCAACCAAAATCCACCTTTTGACTTTCCTATTTTGTCTTCTTTCTTCACCGAGTCCCAACTTGTAAAGGGAAAGAAATACGTTCTTCTTTTCTTTGATCCATCGTTGACTGGGTCAATGTCTATCTCAAAGTCCACGTTGGCCTTTCTGATGGACTTTCCTATTTCAAGCCATGAACTCCAACTTCATTAGGAAACTCACGTCTCTTTTGCTTTGCTCGATTTCGGATAGCCACAAAATATTCAATTTCGAATATTTAGATTTTTATTTCGAACTCAAACTCGAGACATATTTTAACATGGTGGACCAAGTGCTACAGTCGTTCAGTGATTTGAAGGCTGAGATTAATGCATCTTCCTCGGCATCTCTTATACATGTTCGTATTTATTGTGTCATTTATATGCTTGGATGCTTATTGAATCAGTTGATTTGATACTCTCGGGTTTTTTTTATTTTTATTATTGTCATTATCATTATGGACATTGCCTCTCTCTTTTCAAGCGATTTCCCATATAGTGAAGTGGGGCAATGGTAAAATCATTTACACTCTTGTTAAAATAGATTATGTTGAGGTCTAATTTTCCTGTGGTTGTAATACGCCTACATTGAAATGGCTGCTTATAAACTTCTTTTTCTCTTCTTGTGTAGGTCGATAGCTTTGGATCATTCTCAGAGGACATACAGCGTATGCTGCAGCTTTGTGACGAGCAAGATGATGCGACCAGCACATTGGTTGAATTGGCAGCTCAGGAGGTCTCTCTCTCTCAAAATTTGATAAGTTAGGTAGTTAGCTCGTGAAGCATCCTTGCCTTGTCACTTCATAATTATACATGATGTTCTTTTCTTATGGCAATGGATACGGGAAAGAAATAACTGAAAATTGTTGCCTTGGTATTAAAAAGATAAAATTCAAATGCCAATTAATCTGAATTGCAGGTGTAGATAACTCAAGAATGTCGCTTCGGACTACATGTTCTTTAGGTTGCAAAAAGAGGAGCGGTACTTCTTCCAAGTATATTTATTTGTCTGCTACCAACATTGTAAATATCATTGTTGTGCCGACAATGTTCGTCCTGGTTACCAGTTTCAGTGAAAGTCTAATAGCTGCTTGGTATGATTAGCAACTTGGGGGTTTTCCAACACGTATTCCTGAGAACTGGTCTAAATTTGGAGTTGCACAGTTTGCCCACTTGGGCACACACAATTATATGCAAATGCACAAATTAAGTCTTGAAAAGTCCTAGTCGTTGGAAGCTTGAAATATCTGAGTTATGCTTGCTAAGTTGAGTTCTGGCACTGATGAGATTTATGCATTTATAAATCTTGAATGCTTTCATACTTTTTCTTCCGAGTGATTCTCTTATTGTGGTTTATGTGATTTTGAAGCTGCCACTGTGCAGTATGCACAGAGCCTAAACTGTACTAATTTATCTCGAGTTTGTCGTTACAACTGTGCTTTTTTTTTTTGGGTCCTTTTTCAGACTGATTTTGTTAACTTTGAGCAGCAAGGACTTGGATCTCAAGAATTCTATCAATGTGGAATCGATTTAGGCATGCATAATACAGTTGTTAATGACTCAGATTTGTCTGCTCAGTTGGATTATCTCCATTTTGGTTTCCATCAAGATGATGATCATGGGCATTATGGGGAGGCAAACAATGCCAAACAAGTAGGACATGATTTTGGTGCTAACATTTTGCCTCTCGTCAATCCTCCACCATCTGCTTTTTTGGGCCAGAAATGTGCTCTATGGGATTGTCAGAGGCCTGCTCAAGGCTCTGAGTGGTGTCTGGATTACTGCAGTACAATGCATGCTGATCTGGCTGTTAGTGAAGGCAGCCCTGGTATGAATCCAGTACTGCACCCCGGAGGAATTGGTTTGAAGGAAGATAGGCTACTTTCCTCTCTTATCGCAGAGATACAGGGAAAAGATGTGGGAATTCCTGAGTGTCATAGGGCTGCCATTGAAAAATCGCCATGGAATGCCTCTAGTAAGTCTTATTCTCTCTCTCTCTCTCTCTCTCTCTCTCTCTCTCTCTCTCTCTCTCTCTCTCTCTCTCTCTCTCTCTCTCTCTCTCTCTCTCTCTCTCTCTCTCTCTCTCTCTCTCTCTCTCTCTCTCTCTCTCTCTCTCTCTCTCTCTCTCTCTGTTCTGGGTTGTTTAATCACGCAAATAACCGGTGAGCTGATTATAATTCACTCCCAATCTGAACCACTTCCAACTAGGGGTGTCAATGGGTCGAGTCGGGTCGGGCTTTCTTGATACCCGACCCGACCGGACCCGAAACCTACAGGGTCATGCTTGACCCGCCCAGACCCACCCAAGACCCTGTTCACCGTACACCCCCAAGGCCTGGGCCGGGCCGGGCCGGGTTGGGTCGGGTCGGGTTTCGATTTTTTTTTTTTTCGCTTTTGCGCAGATAGTAACATCAAAAGGCAGAAGACAATTCTCATGAAGAAAAATTTCTACATAGTTTTTTTTTTTTTCGGGCGTGACATGGTTCACGATCATTCATACCCATTGGTACCTTTTCTTTCACTACATGCTCCCCAATATCGACCAAGTGAGAATCAAATACCAGCGATTTTCCAGTTCCCAATACTTCATCTTTCCTGAGAAATTTATTCAACAAGACTTTCCTGCTAGCATCATACAGTGCACAAATTCGGAGCACAACTGCCCATCGAAACTGATGCCCTTTCTCACCTACAATTTTAACTTTAAATTCATTCTAGTGAGTATTGCCAGTTTCTTCAGACTCTGCAGCACAAGCAGTGAAGCCAAAATCAACCAACCAGCCAACCCAAGTTTGAAAAAGCAAAACAAAACAAAATTTAACCTGAGTGTTGTGCCAATTTCGGCAAAAGCTTAAAGTTTGAGTTGACACGGTTCATGCTTCATACCTGCGAGACTACCCTTCAGGTGCAGGCAAATGGAATGAGGGAACCCCAGCACTAACGTTGTCAGGCACTTAATATCAAAACCATTTATTCTAATAACACGCAGAAAATCGAGAGATTGCAGCCGATTACGCTAATTATTCTGAAAGCCTGCAACTATTGGAAAATAGCTCAACTTTTGCCTCTAACGCGTATGAATGGCCATGGTCTTCGAGAAGCGGATTACACAGGAACGGAGTTCTGTGCAGAAAGAAGTTCAAAACCCACAAGCCGATCTCAAAAGACCTTCACCTTTCGCTCCAAGATTCAACTAGATCAGCTTCCAGGCCCCCAAAACCCGACAATCATTTCACCTCGCGGCCTCTTGAGTTACTTGGGTTGTGTACAAAACCTGCCATTCTACATGACAGGAAAATGTTAATCTCCAAGCAGGACATGCTCAGTTAAACTAACACAAAACAGCGGGAGAACACAGCCCTCAAAAAGGAATATTCACATGCTCATGCGTGTTGAAAATGACTGGAGAATAATAATCATTTGAGACTGATATAAAGGTGACCCGTGATATAACAATATAACAGAGAAGTAACTTACATAAATGAAAGACCCAGCAATAGATGTTTAGATATGGTCCTGCAAATCAACAAGCAGCTCGGGTCCTTTGAAGTACCTACAATTGTGGCATTTAGGTTGTAAGAGGGACTATAACTCGCATTCATGAATAAATAGACCTAACAATTATTAGACACAGCTAAAAGACAAAAAACAATGTCCATGCTTCTTCAAGTGCTGTGAACAGATTGAAAATTCACAAAAGACCTAAACTATTTAACCATGAAGCAATATTCTCAATAATCGTGATTAAAGTCTCGCAGATATCACTTGAACAATTTAGATGTGCACTGAATTTTTGAAATTCCAAATCCTTTGCTTAAGCCAAAAGGCTCTGCCTGGCAGGTTAGACATAAGCAAATCATTCATAATCAATTCTTGATGTCTATCCATCCAGATTAAAGCAAAATGCCATACTGTTTTCTTGCAATCATAACTCACAAGATATTAGATTAAACTGGATGTATGGAACCAATTTGCAAATGCTAGTGACATATTAGCCTTCAATTGGTATTTGATGACATAACAATGATTCTTAGCAACCTAAATTAATCATCAAAATATATTCTTAGCTGTCAATCTAAAGTTCAACACCCTGCTAAAATTCTCTGTATCTTCTACAACCAAATGATGCAAATCTCTCAAAGAAAATAATGGCATTTAGAGTTACCCATGAATCCATGATCCAAAGTTGAATAACTTCAACACAAAATAAGTCTCCAAACCATTAGTCAAAATCTTAAAATTATGCAGATCCACTAAAAGTTAGTTGAAATCCCTCTCTCCCTCCTTCTCACTTACACTCAATCCCTAGCATTGACAATCATCACTGGCTGCGAGTTGCCACCAAGAGCAAACTCGTCAGCAAGCCTCATATGTTACCTACCTAAATCTTTTTAATTCTCAAAACTAGTCGGCAATGCCCATCTAATGCCAATCCACATAATTAGCCATAGTTGTTTCCTACAGATGCTGTTAAAGTCTCAAGTAAAAGCCAAAGTTCAGTTTTTGTATATATTGAGTAACAGAAATGACCCTTTGCTTAAGGCATTAGTCAATTGACCATGATTAAAAAATAACTAAAGAGTTGGACAAAGTGAGACAATTAATGTAGTGAGCAAATTGAAATGAAAGAACACAGGACATAGCTTGACAAACTCAAATTTTGAGATGCAAAGTGTAACTCCACCAAATAAAAACAAACAAGATTCCTTTCAACTCCAAAAATCATAAATTAACAGTCGCTAGAATTTGTCAACAAATCAATAGTATGACTGAGAAAAAAAGACGACATTCTAAGAATTCAGATATATAGACGCACGCACGCATTTAAATCCAACAACTATGACAATAAAAGTGAAGCAAAACCTGGAAGCACAGCGAACTACCCTTCCCTTATCATTCCGCTGGCACTGATGACACATTGTAGATTCCACCGCGTTCCCCTAAAAAAAAGCCCAAACCACAGAAAACCCGATCTTCAAACTGCTACATTCTAAGGTAGTTAACGAACCAAACTTTTTCAGCAAAACTTCCGACGTCACAACCAACTGGAGATTTAATTCATCCTTAACGCAACCAAGATGACAAGGATCAGTCCGTACCTTACCTTCTAAAAGAAACTACTACGAAGGTAACAATCCAAAAAATAGCAGAAAGTTCAAATATTGTTCAAGAAACTTATCAAATGTGGAGACACTGATGAAACAATACCTAAAACCGACTCAGTCAAGACCTCTCATTCCAAAGAACCACCCAAAAAAAGAAACCAATTCAAGACGAGAACAAGTTGCAGCTTCTAAAAATACATTCTCGAACCGAGGACTCGCAAGTATAAGATCTCACCCAAGCAAAAGAGGAAACAAGAACACCATCACACTCAAGACCCACGACCCAGAAAAACATACATTCTCGTCCCGATGCCTCGCGCGGCATTGCTTGGGGAACTTGAGCTCGTCGCTCTCCCCATCAGCGGGAGATTTCACTCTCGCTTCGCCCGCCACCGCTCTCCGGCCACCGCTCCGAGTCCTCGAGGAGACCCCGCAATCTTCGCCGGAGCGCGAACGGAAGGGCGGGAGCTCGCGAGAGCAAGCGATCGCGGAGCAAAAGGGAGCAGATCGAGGACGCTAGGGCAAGAGGAGCGAAAAAGACAACAACAGAGGCGAACCCTAACAGAGGCGTTGCAGAGCTAGAGAGAGAGAGACCGACCTCGAGCGACGGCGACGGCGACGGGGCCGGCGACGGCGACGGCGACGGCGATGGCGACGGCGACAGCGACGAGCAAAGATGCAGAGAGATGATCGACGGGGGTAGAGACGAGAGCAGACGAGGCGAGGCGAGGCGAGAGAGCGTCCGACGGCGATGGCGATTGGCGACTGACTCAGTCGGACTGAGAGTCTGAGAGAGGGAGATGGGCCGGCCCAGAATGTTAATGGGTCGGCCTGACCCTACCCATTCCTAATGAAACCCCAAATTTTAGGGTCATATTCAAAGAAGATTAAGGCTCGACCCCAAAACACCCTAAATTTTAGGGCCGGACCGGGTCGGCACGGGTCGGGCCGGGCCGGGCCGGGTTTTATTGACACCCCTACTTCCAACCTCGCAGAGCTATTCAATCTCTCTCTTCTGGATGGAGAAAACGCTCGGGAATGGTTCTTCTTTGATAAGCCAAGGAGGGCATTTGAAAGCGGAAACAGAAAGCAGAGGTCATAGTCAGATTATAGCGGACGTGGTTGGCACGAATCAAGGAAGCATTTGATAAAAGAACTTGGGGGACGCAAGAGGTCCTATTACATGGAACCCCAACCTCCAGGTTCTTTTGAATGGCACTTTGCTTGAGTATGAGGTCAACTTGTCTGGCTGTTGTGCATTATACAAGTTAGAGCTCAAGTTCGTCAGCATAAAGAAGAGTCCTAAGGGAAAGGGAAAGGGCGCGAATGACTCAGTGTTTGATCTCCAGAAGCAGATGGGAAGGCTCACTGCCGATGTTTCCCCTGATACTAAACATCCAGTCAAGGGCAGGACGAAGGCCGATCAGAAGGCCGATTCTGAATGCTGAAGATAATATGATGATACTCAGAACATTGTTGATGCTATCATTCACTGTACATGTAGATATCTTACATGGATATTGAAGCCAAGTTCCTTCTATTGCTGAAGGATGCAATTCTAACACAGGTCAACGAGTAGTTTTGCCTTTTGAAAAATGGAATGTGACTGACAGCACCATCTCTGATCCATACAAAACCTGTAATATTTATGAGAATATTAATCTGAGAATTCTTTTTTGCACTTCCCATTTAAAAATGTGTACCTCTATGGACGTTTGTACGCCCTAGTGTTTGCAGTGTCCTTGCGTATTATTAGAGTGGATTTGAGTCATTATTACTATTTATATTCAAAGAAATCAAAGGGAGGACGCCAATGCCAATGGCCCATTCTCATTTCTTTTACTTATCAAAAAGACGTTATCCTCGATGTGCCATCCATGAATATGATCATACTCCCCGCCTTCCCATTCCATTCAAGTCCCATCCATGAATGTGATCTCTCCTCAATGATTGAAATAGCAAAAATATGGTTCAATTAAACAAGTTCATCGAATTTTAAATCATCCACTTGCCGCTGCTTCCAACAGCTTTTTTGATGCGACCGCAAACATTAAACACAATTAAGATATCTGCAGCAAAAAGACCAGTTTCTTTAAAAGAAACTGTGCGAAGGCTGCTTCACATAACTCCTCCAAATGCCAGTAAGTTCATGTGTTTGCAGACACTACTTACACAGGTTACATAATTTGATTACAAAAATACTCTTTCAGAGAAACAAGAATACTACTATGGGTATTTCTGTGGGAAAGATAAGAGATTTGCAATACATGACCCTTATTGGGGGTGGACCAATAAATAATTGTACATTGTCAAACAAATGATTCAAAAGTTACAAAATTGTATATAGCAGTGACGCTTCACTCTTTTGGTCTCCCACTCCTGCTCTTTCGCTTGTCAACATCCAAGTATTTCTTCCTTAATATTTCTTCCTTAATCTTATTACCTTTGGTGTAACCTGCACAGAAAATACAAAGTCGTCTCAAGCAATTCACCAAGTAAAATGATGGTGACAAACACAACTGCTATACACACAACAACCAGAGTACATATATACCGCTATTACATCATGAGGAAGATGGCACAAGAGAGAAGGTAAACTCATATTTGGCATATCGAGGACCGAGGATAATATTGGAATGTTGTATGAACTTACTTCAATAAGCTCGTATGAAGCAACATAACCTATGGCTTCTTCGAGAATCATCAGTTTAAAAAGAAACTTATTATAAATCACAGTAAAGAAATTGCCAGATCAAAACCATTTTGGGTTCTACTATCCAACGATAATCCACGATAGGCAAATTTAACATGGTTGACCAAATGGATCTTGCAATTTCAGCAAGCAACTAGCAGGAGTGACGGAAATTACTGCCAAAGACGAGCTGCCAATGCCTTCAGGATAGCTAAATCTAACATGCTCGACCATATAATACTAGCAATTTCAGTGCACGACTAGCAGGACTGAAGGAAATTACAGGCAGAGACAAGGCAGAGACAATCTGACAATGCCTTCAGGCCTTTCACCAGTATAGAAAAAAAAACACATTCTACTGCTAAATCACACTGCAACTTCACTCATTGCATTAGAGGACAGTCAATTCTTTTACTGAAGAAATACCAGGCAAGGAGCAGACAACTTGACGCTTTCATCCTTGCAAGCAGCCCGCATATTGCTTAGTTCCTTAGTCCTTACTGGATTCACCTACAATAAGGAAAGCATTACGAGATAAGCCAAACTAGAAGTAGCATGTTGTACTTATTCCAGAAGCAAAAGTCTCACATCAAGGTCAGAATCCCGTGAGTGTTCACCAATGTTCATCCCATCATACGCCTGCATACCAATCAACACGTAAATCAGCAAAATTTATGGAGGATAAATCTTAGTAGAGGAACATAAAAGCCTACAAGAGACTAAGGGCCTATTTGGTAACGTGCCAAACAGTGAAAATTTATGTTTTTTTGTTCCCAAAATCAATTTGGAAACAGAAATCCGTTTGTTAAATTTTTTGATTCTAGGCACAAATTCTTGCAAATTTGTGCCCAGAATCAGTTTTGGAGCAGAATCAAGAATAAAAAAAAAGTAGCTTCTTAATTCTAGGAACAAAAATGAGAATCAGTTTTTTTTTCTTCTTCTTTTTCTTGGTTTTTAATGTAGCTTCTAAAGTCCGGCGCGAGGGCCACCCTCGCCGTATCTGGCGAGATTAAAATATTTTAATAAAAAAATATTATTAATAAAAAAAATATTTTACCGGCCATGAACAAAAAAAAATTATTTTACCAGCCATGGCCGGCGACCAGGCCATGAACAAAAAATACATATTATTAATAAAAAAATATTTTACCGGCCATGGCCGGTGACCAGGCCATGGCAAAAAAAAAAGAAAAAATATATTTTCAATAAAAATATATAAATATTTTAATAAAAAATATTATTAATAAAAAATATTTTACCGGCCATGGCCAAAAAAAAGAAAAAAATATTTTTAATAAAAAAATATTTTACCGGGCATGGCCAGAAAAATTTTAAAAATTATTTTTAATAAAAAAACTTATTTTACCGGCCATGACCAAGAAGGAGGAGAAGAAAAAAACAAAATAAAAAAAATAAAAAAAGAAAGAAATATTAAAATATTTAAAATATTATTAATAAAAAGAAATTTTATGCCGTTACCAAACACATTTCTGTTCTTTTACTATTTTAGGAATGGAAATTTTGGGCTGTTACCAAACGCCTTCAAATACTCAGAATTAATTCCCAGGCACAGAATTAAAAAGAATCATTTCTGAGCAAAATCAGTTCCCGGGCACAGAATCGTTGCCATGCACACCCCAAGCAATGTGTATGACTCATTTATTATTAAAATACCTATTCACATCCTTACTTATCTGTCTATTTTTATACTTACATATTTTCTTCCATGCAATCCAAGTCGGTCTTACAATTGACAAGTCAACTATTTATGAAGTATACAAGTCCAGATCTTCTCCTGAGTTAGCAATGCTCACTTTAGGTTTGTAATCATCAAAGATCGATGTAATTTGACAACTGAAGACACACAAGAAAAGTAAATGGACGTGCCAATTATAGGATCAGAACTAGAATGTGGAATGATGAGTAGAGACAAAATGCAGATACATTATATGCTCCTAAAAATGGAAGTCAAACAAGATTTATTCATTCCACAAGAGAAAATGCATTAACACGTATAATCGGCTGTGAGTGACAACATCCATTCCGGGGCTCACAAAGAGAGTTCCACGAGCCTCTAAACTCATTAATGTATGAGCCGTGATCGTGCCAAAGCCCATGGATACCTGTCCAACAGGAGCATGCATGCTTTAGTCAAGGACACTGACAGTACCAGAGAAAATGCGAATCTATATTTTGGCCAAAGCAACAAGAATATCATCATATACATAATGTTAAATATGCTCCAGGAAACAACGAATAATACTTTTAATAGATCTACCAATAAAACACATCCTTCATTATCTTACTCTGAACAAACATCCAGTGATAAAAGTGTGAATGTGGTAACATATTTAGATGGAGCTCTGTAGAAGAAATCATTATCTTTCAATCAGATCCATTTATTTGATTTTGTATATGACATTTCAGCAACAGTGAATCCCTGACTTTCCCTAGAAAGCCATGCACAAAGTAAGGGCCCCCTCTTATAAAGTGGACTCTGCTCGTGGTCATGAGGTTCTTAGGGTGGATTCTCACTCTAAGTGATTTACACAAGGGACAGAAGGCTCTCACTCATAATGTCTACCAGTGAAGTGCTTATTGGATGGTGTCTAGTCTCGTCAAAAGCGTGATACAATCGCATGAGATGCAAATCACATTGTCTAGTCCTATATTTGAAGTGTCCACCTCTACAAACGTACCAGAAATGACATTACAAGTAGAGTAGACCTTAGGGAAACATTAAGGGATCGAGGGTGAATGATAACTCTTATTTTTGGTCAATAGCAATTTAAACCAAGAGATTTCCTACAAAACAAAGTGTTAGCATAAAAGAAGTTTGCCTCATGAGATCGAAATCATGGCACAAAGACTTACCAATACTCCTTTCCTCACATTCCCAAGAGGGCCTCGGTGCTTTGCAAAGGCTGCAGTATTCGGATAAAAACAGACATAAGAAAGACAGAGCAACGACCAGCAGAAAATAAAATCCCATCTAATCAAATCCGAAAATGCAGATGCAAGTCAGAAACTGATGCAACCATACTCAAAAATGTGCTCATTGCGTGCAAAATCGCATTTCACTTTAATGCCCCTTTTTAAAACAATGTTTAGTCAGAAACATGAGAAAAATTAGAAGCGCGTAAATAGCAGATGGAATATCTTCAGTACTTCTTTGAAGTGCAGTTCATTGCCACACCGGATGAAGCCTGTCTACAAGCCACCGCGAAATTGGGAAATGAAATAGTGGAATAACAGATCCATGACTAAATAAAGTCCAGGGTGCAATGTCTTCTTTATCTTTCTGATGCATATATACAGCTCTTTTATTAGTCAGAGAGACTAATGCATTGATCCACTGGCTAAATGTAGAAGCACGAATGAATTTAACCACTACAAAAAAACACGAAATTTGCGACGGAAATTTGCGACGAACGTTCTTCCGTCGCAAATTTGCGACGGAATTTGCGACGGATTATATTTTCCGTCGCAAATTTGCGACGGAAAATGTTCGTCGCAAATTTGCGACGGAAAATATAATCCGTCGCAAATTTGCGACGGCATTGTAAGTCCGTCGCAAATTTGCGACGAAAACTTCGTCCGTCGCAAATTCGTAGTTTATCAGCCCGTGATATTCCAACCCTATCTCTCACTCTCGCTCTCTCTCGCTCTCTCTCGTTTTTCTCCCTCTTTCGTTTGTCGGAAATAAGCAAAATCCGCGCACGCACATATTAATCTCGGTGAAGCTTTTGTACCGGTAAGTGTCGTAGCTAGCTTCGTGACTATTCGCCGTTGCATTGTAATTTCCGTTTTTTTAATATATGTTTATGTTTGTTTTTTTTTTGTATCTGCATCACCGGTTTAACGACCGGCGACACCTCGCCGGCCTTTGGATGAGGCCGAACGGCCACGCCTTTTTGCGACGGAAATAGTTTCCGACGCAAATTTGTGACGAATAAATGAAAATTCCGTCGCAAATTTGCGACGGAACGTAGTATCCGTCGCAAATTTGCGACGAATACCTGATGCCGTCGCAAATTTGCGACGAATGAATGAAAATTCCGTCGCAAATTTGCGACGGAATCACCGTCGCAAATTTGCGACGAATGAATGAAAATTCCGTCGCAAATTTGCGACGGAATCACCGTCGCAAATTTGCGACGAATAAAGAAAATTCCGTCGCAAAATTTGCGACAGATTTGAATATCCGTTGCAAATTTGCGACGGAAGACTATTTCCGTCGCAAATTTGCGACGGAACCTAGTATCCGTCGCAAACTTAGTATCTGTCGCAAATTTGCGACGGAAATAGTCTTCCGTCGCAAATTTGCGACGAATAAATGAAAATTCCGTCGCAAATTGCGACGAAGTTGAGTATCCGTCGGAAATTTGCGACGCAAAACTAATTCCGTCGCAAATTTGCGACAGATACATTCCGTTTCCATCACACATTAAAAATTATTAAAAAAATGATTCTTAAGTGATTATTCTTTTTTGGGTATGTGCCTAATTGAAGGTCTCGCAATCCAAGTGGACGTTGCAATTCTCATCAAATTGATCACTTTCTCCTATAAATATTTCAGTCAAATATTTGGGTAAGTCTTCTTTACATTGTAGTTTTTTCTATTTTTGCAATTTGATATTAATTGTTGCGTGAATAACATAAATTATAATTTCCAAAATTTTATGGTTTTAATTAACAACAATAGATATGATATTTTAAATATTTTACCAGAATTTTTTATTTTAATACAGACACAATGCAAAGAGAAAGGGCTTGGATGTATAATAAGAACTTACCTGGACGTCAAGGATTGACAGATGAGTTTCGTACTGGATTGAAACTATTTTTAGACTTTGCTAGTAGTAAATATGAGTTTATGGATGGAAATAAGTTAAGGTGTCCGTGTAAAAAGTGCGGTAATGGTAAATTTCTTGTGTGTGATCAAGTTAGAGAACACCTTATTAGATTTGGGTTTACTCCGAACTATTATACTTGGACTTCCCATGGTGAACCATTTATATCTGATGAAGGATATGGAAGAAGTGACCAATTTTCAGTTAGGGAAGAATGTGGCTATTATGAGCAATTGAACCCATACGAAAGGATGGTGATTGATGCAGCTAGTTATAATTTTGTCACAGAAGCAAATCATGCAAGTACTAGTTTTACTCCTACACGTGAACAAGTGGGTACTAGTCATGCTTCACAATTGGAAGATATAGGAGTAACGGGTTTTGAGGAGAATGTGTATAATGAAACTTTTCAATCTAATCAGTTCTGGGATGTCTTGAAAGCAGCAGATGAACCGAACCTCTATGGACAGGTTGTGAGGACCACACTAAGTTATCGGTGACAGCCCGACTATTAAATATCAAGGCAAAGCATAATGTGTCTGCGGATTGCTTCAACTCTTTTGTTGAAGTAATGCGGGAATCATTGCCTCGTGATAACAACATGCCAAGTGATTTTTATGATATGAAAAAGCTAGTGGATAACTTAGGTCTTCCGGTTGTAAGGATTGATGTATGTAGTAGGGGTTGTATGATATATTGGAGAGATGATGAAAATGCAGAATCTTGCAAATTCTGTAGCCAACCTAGGTACAAGATTAACAGGAGGCCGGGTCGTAATCAGAAGCGTAAACCATGCAAGCAAATGTTTTATCTGCCCTTAATCCCCAGATTGCAAAGGCTTTATGCGTCTAAAGCCACTGCTGAACACATGACTTGGCATGCAAATCATGAAACAGAAGAGGGTCTAATGTGTCATCCTTCAGATGCAGAGGCATGGCAACATTTTGATAGAACATACCCTCGAGTTTGCAATGGAGCCTCGGAACATCGGGTTAGGTCTCGTGCCGATGGATTTGCTCCATTTGGGAGAACAGGAAAAAGTTATTCATGCTGGCCAGCTTATCTTAACGCCTGTACAATCTTCCACCTGGTATGTGCATGAAGACACCTTATATGTTTTTTACATTGATCGTGACAGGGCCGCAAAATCCGAAAAAGTTGATAGATGTTTATATGCAACCATTGATTGAGGAGTTACAACGGCTATGGGTTGAAGGTGTCCCTACGTATGACGTTTCTACCGATCAAACATTTGTTATGAAGGCTGCCCTTCTTTGGACGATAAATGACTTTCCAGCTTACGGAATGTTATCTGGATGGAGTACAGCTGGGATCTTAGGATGTACGATATGTTTGGAGAGGACAAAGTCATTTAGATTAAAACATGGAAAGAAGCCTAGCTATTTTGACTGTCACAGACAATTTTTACCGCCAAGTCATCCTTTCAGAAGGAATAAGAAAGAGTTCAGCAAGAATAGGACTGAAAGAACACGTCCACCATTGAGGTTGATTGGCAATCAAATTTGGGAGCGTGTGCAGGACTTTCCAACTGTTGTTGAAAACCCGCACGGCACGACTTTTGAGTACGGAAGTACACATAAGTGGACAAAACGTAGTATATTTTGGGATCTACCATATTGGAAGGCCCATCTTATTCATCATAATCTTGACGTCATGCACATAGAAAAGAATGTTTTCGACAATGTCATACATACTGTGATGGATGTCGCCGGAAAAACAAAAGACAACTTGAACGTAAGAAAAGATATGAGAGATATTTGCGATCGGCCAATACTAGCTGTGGATGCAAGCAGCAGGGGACCAAAACCGAAAGCAGTTTATACATTGGATAAGGAGCAGAGGCGAGTTGTTTGTCAATGGTTGAAATCTGTGCGGTTTCCTGATGGATATGCTTCGAACCTCGGGAGATGTGTTGATTTGAAGGAATGCAAGTTGACAGGTTTGAAGAGTCATGATTGTCACATCCTGATGGAAAGACTAATTCCAATAGCTTTGAAGGAAGTTTTACCGAACTTTGTATGGGGCGCCATTACAGAATTAAGCAATTTCCTCCATGATATTTGCTCGACAGTGTTAAAAGCATCGCACATGGAAAAACTAGAGAGAGATATTCCAATTATTATTTGCAACTTAGAAAGGATATTTCCTCCGGCGTTTTTTGATTCGATGGAGCATCTCTTAGTTCACTTGCCTTATGAGGCCAAAGTTGCAGGTCCCGTCCAATTTCGATGGATGTATCCATTTGAGAGGTAATGTTTTCTTTAAAATACAGTTCAAATGAGTTTATCATATAATATGTCCCGATAAGCTTCTTTCTATTTCAACTAGATTCTTATATCATTTGAAGAAAAAAGTGAAGAATAAGGCACATGTTGAAGCTTCAATTTGTAATGCATATATTGTGGAAGAAGTGACGACATTTGCATCATACTATTTTGAGCCGCACGTTCAATGCAAGAGGCGGAGAGCGGCAGAAATGATGAGGGCCCCATTGATCCCAATTGCACAAGCATTCTCTATTTTCAATTATCCGAGTCGACCAGCGGCGGATGTCGGTTTCGTTACTTATCGGCGAAGAACTTCATGCAGCCCATACTTATATTTTACTGAACTGTCCGTAAGTCGAGCCATACTTCAAGTAAGTGTAAATTTATAAATATATGTTTTGCGTGTCAAATATTTGCTAATAATGATATGGTTTTTAATATTAGGATTTTCCAAACTTCAATGTTTGGACTACAACCAAATGAGTTTGACCGTTTGTGCGATGAACAATTTGCAGCATGGTTCAAGACATATGTAAGTTGCCTATGGATCAAAATCACGTTATTAAAATTATATACATCATTTAGTTAAATATATATTATTAACTTTGCATGTATAACCTTAGGTTCACAGTAATTATGATGAAATTGGAGGGCAAGGATTGCTACATTATCTGTCATGGGGTCCACAGTTAAGAGTTCGAAGTTGGCCAGCATATTTCATAAATGGATATAATTTTCATACTCAAGAATATGGAATGGGAAAATCCACAATGAATAGTGGTGTGTCTATTCGGTCATCCA